GAGAGAGAGAGAGAGAGAGAGAGAGACCAGGCCAAAGTCAGGGCCTTAACTCCCCCCGTGTGGACAGGACTTACAGAATATAATGCATGCCTGGCAGTTCTGCCCTGAGTCCCAGAATCTGGGATCTGTCAGTCATAGGGTTGAGTGACAGGTGGACACACAGTGGCCTTGGTCCCTGCCGCCCCTAGCTGGCCAAGTGATGCCAGACAGGTAGCGAGGTGGGATCCTGTGCCAGCCTGCCTCACTCCCTGTGTTCGTTTTTGGGCAGGATTTCTGCCGCTCTGGGAGCCTCTGGGCCTAGCACGGGCCTCCTGTTTCCTCAGCCCTGGGTGCCCCCCAGCCTGGCCCAGGTGTGGCTGTGCCCTGCTGTCCCCACTCACTGGGGTTGGGCTGCAGCAGCACCTCCGTCTGCCTCAGGATGCGCTCTGTCCAGTTCTTGGTGCTGTCCGCCCGCGCCAGGAGGTTTTCAAAGTGGGCATCGAGCTCAGTCTTCTCAGCCTGGCCAAACTTCTCCTCGGTGAACTGTAGGTGGAGGCGAGAATCCGGGCCCAAGGTCAGGGACCTTCCTGGGGCCACCGAGGTACCACCCCTCTGGGCCTCCGACCGCCCTGTGTGGAAGAAGGTGGTCCCAAGCTGGGGGACGGGGTGGGGGGAGATGGTCACAGCCTCTCCCCCGTGCCCTGGCCCAGCAGCTGGGCACCTCGGACAGCAGCTGCTAGCAAGTGTGCAGGGAACAGACGGGGCACAGAGCAAGGTCCACAGGCAGCAGGGAGCCCGCGCTGCACTCGAGGTGAGACTGCTGCTCAACACCCTGGTGGGAGCCTGGGGCACAAGGGGTGTGGTAGAGAGGGCTTGGCGCCTGGCCACCGGGTGTAGTGGGCAGGGAACACGGCCAACCCACCGGAGTCCTGGGGGTGTCCTCAGGAGCCACGAGGGCCATCTAGGACATCTAGAAATGCCCAAGTCCTGGTTCCTGGGATCTAGAAGGGCTCTGGGACAAATGTCCCCATTTGTCAACAGGGACAGGCAGGCCTTGGCCACCAGGGAACAGGGCTTGCCCAAGGTCACGGCCAAACAAGCTTGAGGACCTTCAGGAGTGAGATAAGGAGCAACAAGGCTCCGGTGCTGGCCTGGGCCAGGGCGTCACAGCCAGGGCCTCAAGGAGCGGAGGGTCACCTGTCCCATTTCTGGGATGTGAGCATGGAGGCGGAGTAAGACCAGTGCCATGGGGCTGATGCCTCTCAGAGAGGCAGAGCCTGGGCAGCCATGAGTCATCGGGAGGCTGTGGGGCATCAATTATGCAGCAGGCTGGGCTTGGGTTTCTCCCGGAGGGCGAGGGCGCAGCTGGGCCCGCACCTCCTCCCTGTCCCACAGGCTCTGCCTCTTCCTCCTCCTCAGTCCCCAAACCCCGGAGCTAGGGATGTCTCGGCCCATCTCTCCCTGGGGACCTGGCCCGACCCCACACTCCAGAAAGTTACCTCTCTGTCCTCAGTTTCTCCCTAAAGGACGTGGAATACGGGTCAGCACACCCTAGGGGTGGGATCAGTGGTTTTTCTTTTTTCTTTCTTTTTTTTTTTTTCCAAGGCTGGGATGGAAGTCAGGGCCTCACACATGCCGCCAAGTGCTCTCCTGGGCCCTGGGCTGCAGAGATGGCAGCTGGTATCACTGTCACCAGTGAAAGGTGCCCACAGGTCTGTCTCTGGCTCCCGAAGCCACCCTCTCTCACTCTTCCTGTCGGTACTGTGTCTCTGCCACTCTAGCAGCACGACACCTGCAGTTCCTGCCAACACCGCCATGGCTGCCCACTGCCACCCCGCAGCGTCTTAACGGAACGTGCTTTGGGTTTTCTTGCCTCGCACCTAGGAAGCCCTGCCTGGGTCCGCTTTGCAAGTCCCTCTCTACTTTCCAGGCCCAACTCTGGGCCTCCCTCTGGGACGTCCTCCCCTCCGGGGCCTCCCTGCAGCACCGGGGCCTGCTCCCTGAGGGACAGAGTGCGGCGAAGCCTTCATGTCATCCCTGGTATGTGCCAGGCTGGGTGCTTGCACAGGACTTCCTGGTGCCTGGCACAGCCGCACAGACCCGAAGGAAGGACCCACTTAGTGATACTGAAGAACCCCAGCCGGGGCGTGTTGGCACACACCTGTACTCCCACCACAGGGAGGCTGTGGCAGGAGGATCCCCACCAAGTTCAAGGCCAGCCTGGGCTACATAACGAGACTCAAAAAACTCTCAAAAAAGCCAGACCAAAACAAAAAAAACTAAAGAAGCCCTCCTACCCCTCCTGACCCCTGCCTCACTCCTGTCCAGCACACCTTGGCTCTAGGCAGGTCCCCTCTGGCCTCTCCTGCGGGGCCACCTTCCAGGCCCATCTCCTCGGGCCAGCCACTGTGTTTCCTGTGATTGAGTCCACCCTGGAGAGGGCAGCAGCTCAGCGCAGCAGCAGGGGGTGGGCGTCAGAGCAGAGAAAGCCTCTATTTATAAGGCGCCCGCTCCCTCCTCCACCCTGCCTGGGCGGGGGCCTGGGCCTGGACCTGGCTCCCCTCCAGCGGGGACCCTGGGGCTTGTGCCCCGACCTGGCTAGCAAGCTCAACGCCTAGGCCCAGGCCAGGTCAGGTGGCAGGGCCCCCGCAGCAGCAGGAAAGTGGCAGATCAAGTTCTTCTCAGATTTGATTCGCCGGATGGAGATAAGCAGTTGCCAGAGCAACGGGAAGGGCTCCCCACCGCCCAGCTGGACTGGGCTCTGGGGTCCTGGCCTCCTTGCTAGGGCCCGGGTTGTTCCTCAGGCTCAGAACTCAGAGCAGGGAGCCTCTTTCCGACACTCACCCTCCAGGGGACACCACACTTTCTAGTAAACACAGCCACATGGGTTTCTGAGGAGCTGGGGCTGGGCTCCTCCAGATTCAGCAACAAGGGTCTCCAGGGCCGGTGCAGCCTCACACCTCCTTCCCAGGAGGGCAGGCTGAGGCTGGAGAGAAGCGACTTGGCCAAGGTCACATGTGGCACAGGTGCGGTGTCACCCACAGCTATACCCATCAGGACCTGCTTGTGGAGAGCACTGTGTGCGGAGCCCCACAGATCCTCACGTCCACCCCAAGAGGGGGACACTCGCCCCACTTCTCAGACGGGAAAATCGAGGCTCAGCAAGGAGCAGACCCTCTCCCCAAGGTCACACCGCATCTGACTTTGTGGTGACACCAAGCCCCGCGTCTTCCCCATGATCCCAAATGGAAGGGCTCGTTCCGAACTCGATTAGGGTCTGGGCTGCTTCCTGAGGAGGGTGCCCTCTGCCCCCATTCCTAGAGAAGGAGAGGAAACAGGCCTGCCTGGAGCAGAAAGGAAATAACTCCCGGCTTCCGGCCTGACCATCCAAGCGGGCAAAAGGGCCCTTGACAGCCCTGGGCCACCCGCCCATTGTACGGGTGGGGAAACTGAGGCTCGGGGAAGGGGCTGTGCCAGATTGCGGGACCCTGGGCCTGGGACCCAGGCTTCCAAACGCTCGGCGGGGCCAGGATCGCTGCTGGGCAAGGGCAGGGAGGAGGATACCGGGGCCGGAGCAGCCCGGGTTTCCGGATGCGGGCGCCGCACCTCTCCCCCCACCGCGGGGCAGATCCTGGGACTCGCAGAGGTAGCGGGGGCTTGGGGCGCCCCCAGCCCAAC